CTGTCTTCCACAGTCCCGGCTTAATGTGCTGCTAGTGCTAAGTGGGCTTAAAGGATAAACACGAGGTATCACCGTGTTTGCTGAGGCAAAGCTCTTTTTCACATCCTACCAGTGGCAGAATGATACCAATGGAAGACTTTTTATAAATATTTTACTAATAAAACCTATCTCAGTCTCTCCCACCCTTTTTTGGTTTCAGGACACAAAACTGGAATTATATATACAGAAACCCTGTCTCAAGGTCTTCTAGTAAACAGGAAGATTGTTAGAAGCAATAATGAGAGGTGAAGGGCTACTCGGGGATCACGGTCTATTCAGAAGGGAAGCCTTCCTTAAGGGCTGGAGACAAGTGACTTGTGATGCACAGGTCAGACCCATCAGGCTATTACACATTACTAATTACATTTAAGATCGCTCTCAGAAAAATAATTAATTTGAATGGAGCACAGACAATTTAGAATATAAGTGATAAACTTGTCTTATTCCTCTGTGACTTGTATTAATAAGGCTTTAAGGCCTTGGTGATTAAATAAAAACAAACATGGTAGGGGCGATTATAAGGCTATGAAAATTTTCAGGACTTGTTTTCACATGGAATCAGTTATATACTGAACACAAGTAATAGCTACCTTTTAGTGAGTGTTTACATGGTGCCAGGAACTTTAATTAACAATTTATTTAATACTTAAATGGCATTAACTATGTACCAGGCACTGTTTTAAGTACTTTGCAAATATTAACTGGTAACCAGTATGAGATATGAACTTCTATCATGCCCTCTTCAAAGATAAGGAAACTGAGGACAGAGACGTTAGGTAATGTGTCCAAAGTCACCCATCTAGTAAGTGGCAGAACCAAGGTTCAAAGCCAAGTGGTCTGGTCCTAGAGACCATACTCTTACCTGCTACCCCTCGTCTGTAACATTATCACTAATTCTCGCAATATTCCTGAGAAACAGATTAATCTGTTTAATATATATGGCAACACAGCACAGTGAGGTTAAATAATCAGCCCAAGGTCACACAGCCACTAAGTGGCATAGCCCGAATTTGCACCAGTCGTGTCTGATAGCACACTCCACATTCTTTATGTGAAGCCTTGTTTGAACTGTGATATTTTCTGAAAACTTCCTCCAAGTAATTCATACATTTTTATCTTTAAGTATTTATTATAAACATTTCAGATTAGGAAAGGTGAGGAATAAAACAAAATGTCCTTCACCTACTTATTGTCAACTTCGTGCCTGAACAGTCTTTGCCAGAACAGCTAAGAGGAAAGAGCACCGCAACTACACAACAAAAGCCAATATTCCTTTGCATTCTGCCTGGTGTTTTGCAAAGGCTGGAGGTCTCATAATCGGGGCAATGAACACACATCGGTATGGATGGACCCATGGCCCATCAGTGGCTGAGGTCTTTACTCATTGGAAGAGCATATATTAGAAACTGATTTCAAAGCCGTGTTTCTGTATTTATTACAATGAAACACTGATACTTCTACGCATTTTATCTCTTATGAACAGAGACAAAAATTATAATTTACACTAGTTTTGATTTGCACTTTCTCAGTTTCAACAAAGAAGATAGCTAAAACAGTTCAATTATTCAACCCATTTAGCAATTAAAGAGATTTTCATAAGAAGGATAAACCAAGTACAATTTGCGGGAATAATTTTGCATTTTTCCATGGAGTCCCATCTTTCCTCCATGTGTCGGAATTCTTTAAAATTCAAGAAGAATCCTCAGAGATCACAAGATGATGTTTTTAAAGGAAAGCAGGAGTATAAAAAAGTTATAAAATCTATGGATAAAAATAAACATCCTGGAGAAATTCTTTAAGAGCACTGAAACACATCTAAATTTTGATGGCATGTAAAATTCTCCATGATCTGAGTCGGCCTACCTGTCCAGACTCTTTCCCCATCGTGTGTCATCAACACTTTGATTCCACTAGTTCTGTCTACACCTTCCCTACACAGTTCGAATTCCTTGGCCTGCCTGCCTTTGCACATGCTGATCTACCTGCTTGGAGCTGTCATCCCTACCTTACCCCTTGCTTCTCTCTCCCCCTGTCCCTCCACAAAGGTCTTCTTCTTAATCAAGTCTTAGCTAATAATTTCCCTGGTTCTTCAGGCAGAGTTAGCCTTTCCTCTAGCCTCGGGGCCTGTATAACAATTATCTTCTTGTGTTATATTTAGATAAGCCTTGGTTCTCGGTTAACTCCTTGGGGTGAGAGCAGAGTTAAACTTGCCCGCATTGTCGTTGTTGTAGTCTTGAAATACCTGAATCTCCAGGATTCAAGCACAGTAGAGGCTTAATAAAGATTTGCTAAAATTTGGGGTAAATGGTGGTAAGAATGACAGAAAAAAATGTGGACAAGATGACATTTGAGTGTCTAGATGTACCGTGTGTGCATGCAAGCATGCATGTGTCCCCACTTGCGAGGTATAGAATCAATGACACTAAATGCATAAATTCTGAATGATAAAACCCTGAATTCAGCGAGAACCCCTTGAGGAAAAACTGACCAATAATGCTTGGAAACTATAACAAGATATAGGGGAGGAAGCACAGATTCGGAGGTCAAAGAGACCAAGCTGTGAATACCACATAATGAATGACATTAGAAATACTGAGTTTACGTACCTATATTATAGGCTAGAATTAAAGGAGACATATTATAGCCCAGCAAAACTTGGTTACGACCTTAAAGGAGTGCTCTGTATATTTTGTTTGCAAGTTTCTTTGGTGTTCTACTTTGACATTTTCTTTTGAGATGTTAGTGACAGAGCACTCTGTAATTTCTATAGCATATGACTCACACAACTAACCTTTCTCTGCCTAAAAAGACTCCCAGAACTCCTTGGAGGTATTTTTTGTGTGCGTGAAATTTTTCTTTCAGTGATAAAGGAATATGATGGTGAAGCAGGGGTTTCCCCTTTCTTTCTACAGAGTTAAGAACTTCAAAAAACAAGAGCCTTGTTTGAAGAGGACAATTTGAGGGCAGAAGACGCTTTCAAGAAGTAAACAAAATGTTCCCGTCAAGTGCATTATAGAAGAATGGCATGGAAGGGCCAAAAGAAGGAGGAGAAAAACAAAAACAAAAACCACAAATGGGAGATGTGAATGCACATTAAAAAAACGATGGAAACACCAATACTGTGGATTGCATTTTCAAAACAAAAAAGACAAATCAAGACAAATCTTTATATATATACAATGGGAATGTAACAAATTAACTTAAAAAAAAAAACACTGTCTTATTCAGGCAATCCCATTACAAAAAAGTCATAGCCTGCAGAATGGAAAATCCATTACCTCCCTGAACCGTACGTAACACTGGCATTTAAAATTAATTATTAAAATTAACATGAAGTAAAAATTAATTATTTGCTTTCCCCCACATGCCCAAGGCAAAAACTGATGGGAAACGACATAGAAACAAACCAGTTATGTGCACAAATCAGAGGCTTTTGACTTCTATTTTATACCACAATGCCACAAACCAAGGCTGCTGTTTTCTCCCTGAGCCTAGGAGTCAAGTATCCAACCTAGGAAGTCAGCCGGTAACTTCCCGGTCAGCTCCTCTCATCCGGATGTGCCTCTGCCCTCTTTAACAATCCTGGAACAAACACCACCTGCAACCTTGCTGAGCTTTTGTTCCAAGCCCCTTATCTTCTTCAAAACCCTAAGTGAAATAAATCTCCCTCCCACACCTACAACCTCTAGCCCAGACCCACATTCTCTTAATTGGACCACTGCCTGAGATTACTTACGAATCTTCCTATCTTCAGTCTTACCCACACCTCCTACCCATCTTCACTCTGCTGCCAGAAAGAGACCTCCTTTCAACACACAGATCTAATCATAGTACCCCAGTCCCACCTGCACTCCCACCCCAGCCTCCAATTTTCGATAGGTCACGCTCCCTATCGGCAACAGAACAAACTCTGACACCTCCCATGGCATCCAAGACCCTGCATATTCTGCTCTTTGCCTACTGTTCCCCTGTGTCGATCCCCTGGGCCTGCAGATTTCATGTCTCACCAACATGGAGCCACAGTTCCCCACCACACCAATCTCCATCTCTCTCTCTCTCTCCTTTTATCTGTGGTATTTACACAGTCGGCCTGCCTATGTGCAACATCCTACTCCTGTTTATCCTCCTGGCAAGCTTCTAATTCCTCTCTCAAGCCTAAGTTCAAATAGCACCTTCTCTGTGAAGCCTCCCTGACTTCTCAGGTAGACTGCTGTTCCTTCACCTGGATTCCTACTGCATTTTGTACATACATTTCTGGGCAACATATTGTATTTTAATTATTTTTCTCTCTCCACTAGACTTCTAGAAACAGAGGATTTGTATTCCAGTACCTAGCATGGCAAAGTACTTGACACATAAATATTTACTGAAATTTTGACCAGGTGGATAAAGAAATTTGACTATAAAATAGAAAACTTTTTACAACTGTGAAAAAGGTAGGAGGAAAACTAGTAAGGCAATCTTTACCCTTAGCCTCCATGTTATAAATCAAAACGTTACTGTATTGGAGCAAGGCATTTGACCTCTATCACTGTCTTTTATCTGTCTGTGACCTCTCTGCAGCCACCAGCCTTAAGCAGGAGAGCCGGGCTCGTCACCGGCAACCTGTACTGCTTCTCTGGCCAGGCCAGCAGCCCCCTGACACACTCCCACATTCCCTGACACGCTCCCACACCTGCACCTCCTCCAGCATAGCACACCAAGGGACCTGGCCACAAATCAGACCCTGGGTGTAGTGCTGCCACTCTGTACATTAATAATGAACATATTTCTCTTATTTTTCCTTACACATAGCGCTAATGAAATAAGTAAGACACACTTTGAGAAAGCGTGATGTCACTGCTAGAAATGCTCCTGAACCTCTGCCTGTGGGTGCGCGCATGCACGCGCACCCCCCCCCCCCCCCCCCACGTGCAGTGGCTCGAGTCTGGTCACGTTTGAGCCAGCTGCATCCCAGCTACCTGCTAGTTTGATGTTCATGTTGCTATCCAGCAGGAGATTTTCAGCCTTGAGATCACGGTGCACAATCTTCCGACCATGACAATAATCGACAGCAGACAGGATTTGCCAGAATTTGCGCCTGGCCTCAGACTCATTTAACCGGCCATGATTAGCAAGGTAGTCTGGAAAACATCAGAGATTTTAGGATTAGTCACCAAAACCAAAAACCAAACTAACAAAAATCCCCACTATCAGTACTTAGGATTTTTTTCTCCTCAAAAAGCCAGCTCTTTACTTATTTTAATTCCAGTGTGATTAATATACAGTGTTTTATTAGTTTCAGGTGTACAATACAGTGATTCAAAAATTCTGTATATTACTTAGTGCTCATCCAGGTAAGTGCACTCTTAATCCCCTTCATGTATTCAAAAGCTTTTTAAATGAGTAAGAGTGTTCAAGTACCATGCTGTTTTCCAAGTTCTCTGCCTTGAGAAAAGTAATTCCAATCATATTTCACTGGAATCCATATAAACGGAGAGAGAGCCCAAGACAAGACAATATGCAAGTGACGTAATATTCATAGTATAATTCCCAATGCTGTTTTATGCCCTAGGCACTCCCTCCACTCCTTTGTTTACAAATTTATTGAATATTTTTCCTAACCACATTTAAAAAAGAAACTTGTGTAAAAAACACCCATGAATCCATTTTCTGACATCTCATCAGACAAGGGATATCTTTCTTTTAAATAATCATTTCATGGAGTTACTGTACAAGCCACCTGTAACATACGATACAGGGATCCCTCGTAGTAGCTTAAATAATTCACACCCTGTTTTGTTCAGTGGAGCACCTCTGATCCACCCAAGACTTGTCCTCTAAATCAAATGTGATAGCCATGTTCTCTAAGCACACACACTTTGCAAGATACATTAGCTATGTTTGTGCAGTGTTACAATCTCTACTAAAGCGGTTTACCTGAGAATTAATTCTGCGTATGTTTACATTAACTCAAGAAAACTAAACATTTATAGCTAGTTCAATTTTCACTTGAAAATCTAAGTCTTTTAAAATGATCTTTTGCAGAAGAAGGTCAGCATGAATCTTGAAAGGCTTTTCTAAGATTTAAGGTTGTTTTCCCAAGTTAGGAATCGTATGGACAAATCAACATTCAGTCATCTTCATACATTTTGTGTTCTAGGCTATGTGGTTTACTGATACTTAGATTCCATGGCTTTGGGTCATGACATTCTCAATATTTACTGTAAAACTAACATTTGTACAACATTTTACAGTTTACAAAACTTGTTCATATCACTATATGTCACTTAATGTTCCTAAAAACACTCCATGATAAGGATTATTCTAATTTTCATCTTATAGGTGAGGAAGCTGAAGATCACAGGGATTAAGTAATCTGGCTGAATTCACACAACTGGTAAGTGAATAGCTGATCTGGAAACTTTGACTTTTTTTTTTTTTAAACCGTATCAAGCTTCTTTACTAGACTCCTGATGAAATTCTCACTATCCTTTCGAAACCCTGCTCATATGCCACCTTGCCCTTAAACAGTTCATCACTTCAAGTAGAAATGACCTCTAGTCTGAACTCCTTACCACTGACAACACAGTCTCATACTTTAGTTACCTGCACATATACCATAAATATCTCAGCATGTGTGCATATTTGGGTGCGCACACACACACACACACACAGCCCAATTCTAACACACTGTGTGTTAGCAAGTAAGATACTTTCATTTACACTTTCTGAGGTAGGAACCGTATCATTCTCTTCTGTACTCCCCACACTGCTTTAATACTATGCACAAAACATCAGAGGTACAGTTTTTAAAAATACTTAGCTGATTAAAGTCTGATCATAGATGGGTGGCATCATCATTAGTGTTGTAAAAATATCGTAGTACTATACATGTTAGAGGCTTTAAATGTAAGCAGACAGACCTAAATGTGAGACGTGAAACCATAAAAATCCTAAAAGTAAGCATAAGCAGTAATTTCTCTGACATCGGCTATAGCCCACCCCCCCCCCCAAAAAAAAGGCAGCAGAATCAGACCTATAAATGCAGAGAACAAACTGATGGTTGTCAGAGAGGTTGGGAGTGTGGAGTTGGGCAGAATGGGTGAAGGGGAGAGGAAGATAGGCGGAATGATTAAGTCACAGGAATAAAAGGCACAGCATAATGAATACCGTCAATGATACTAAAATAGTTATGCAATGGGACAGACGATAGCTACACTTGTGGTAAACACAGCATAATGTATAAACCTGTCAAATCACTAAGTTACACACCTGAAACTAATGTAACATGTGTGTCAACTATACCCAAATTAAAAAAAAATGGAAACAGACATTTCGTATATGCTTCTGTATGTGCTGTGATCAGCTCATCACATCTCCCTCCTGCCGTTACAGAGCCTGCATAATAGCCGTTTGTGATTCTAAAGGGAAAAACGGTTCACTTAAGAACATGTTGAATTTTCAGTCAAAATGTCCAAACTGTCATCAGAGTGACTATGTCTAAGTAAACTGGCAAGTGGACAATGTGCTTTCTGCTCATAAGAGTAAATCAGAGCCTCATTTCTATGCTGGATGAACTGGGAAATCCGTAAGGAAGGGTTGGCCCCTTGGGCAAATACAACTGATTGAGGCAAATGCAACATGTTTTCTGTGTAGGATTATCTTTTGGCTAGTTAGCATTATCTTTCCTGAAATGCCACACCAAATGCCACTTAAACTGCATCTCTAAAGAGACAATTTTTTTCATAAATAAATGATTTATTCAGATAGACAAAATTTCTTTCTGTTGAAAATGCTGAGTCAACGTGACTTAATGGAAAAAAATGTTTGTGATTCTGGCAACACAGAGAAACCCAAGAGGTCCAATGTGAACAAAGAGAAGTGTATGGAAAAAATAACAACAACCAACTATTGATTACAAAATGAGTCCTGGGAGGGGCGCCTGGGTGGCTCAGTCGGTTGAGCGTCCAACTTTGGCTCAGGTCATGATCTCACAGCTCGTGGGCTCGAGCCCCACGGTGGGCTCTGTGCTGACAGCTCGGAGACTGGAGCCTGCTTCCGATTCTGTGTCTCCCCCTCTCTGCCCCTAACCCACTCGCATTCTTTCTCTGTCTCTCTCAAAAATAAATAAACATTAAAAAAAAATAAAAAAAAAAATGAGTCCTGGGAAACACAAATCTACATATTGACTATTTTTAGAAGTGATCAGTTCAAATTAATACTACCATGGCCAAAGGGGAAGAAAAGCTTTGAAGCCAGGCAGGAAAGGGACAGTCTGGGGGGAGAGGGGCAGGTATAGTCTACCTGAACCTAAAATCACCATGTAAAGCCAGAATCTTCACAGGTCAATAAATCTGTAACACACTGTGAGGAAAATGACAACACCCATTTTCCAGAGATGAAGAGACTTCCTGTTTAAAGAGGTTGGTATGTTCACCCTGTAAGTAAAAATCTCAGCAAGTATTATATCATATCTAGGACCTTCCTTATTCTGTATGATTTCTGTAGTGAAAACTGAAAACTGTACCTTCTGCTGAGAAATCGGTAACAGATGTAACAGAGGTATAAACCTGTGGCTGAAATAACATTAGTTTAGGTAGATACCTCATCCTCCTCAGTGAGGGGCATTGTTATCAATCCAAGCTCAAATTAATACACATGGTCCTCTAGGTAACATGTTTTACATTAAAAACTTAATACCTAATTATGGCTACAGAACAAAATTGCTTTTTTTAATTAAAATTTTTTAATGTTCATTTATTTTTGAGAGAGAGAGAGAGAGTGCGAGCGAGCGAGCAGGGATGGTGAAGGGGCAGAGAGAGAGGGAGACACAGAACTCCAGGTTCTGAACTATCAGCACAGAGCCTGGGCTTGAACTCACAAACTGTGAGATCATGACCTGAGCTGAAGTCAGATGCTTAACCGATGGAGCTACCCAGGCACCCCAGTTACACAACAAAATTTTAAGTGTAACAGCAATTCTCCACACTAATTGTCTATATGTGTATTTTTGGTGAATAGGCACAGTTTAAAAAATTATTTTTTCTATTTTACATTTGTCCTGATTAAGTGAAATTAACTTTCTATGTTGACTTTATTTTTTTTTATTTTTTTTATTTTTTTTAAATTTTTTTTT